ATTTTATTTAAATATGTTAAAATTTAAAAAAGTAGATCATAACTATATTTATGATAATTTTCCAGGCAAATTTGCCTAGAAAAGCCTACAGTTTAAGGAATATATAACAATATTTTTAAATTTCTGAAACCAAGATTAGATTTGTAATGTTAAAAATAACTAACTATTATACAACTTAATATATAGCAAAAGCTAATTTGTATAAATAGCTTCTGAATTGTTTAATAATTAGGTCTTGCTAATTTAATCTAATCATTTATTAATTACAATATTTTTTTAGCTAAATAAACAATTTTTTTTTGTAAAAAAAAAAGTTTAAAAAAATCTAACCATTTATATTAAGTGAATACTTTATACCAATTTTAATTTTTTTATTATAACAATAACTAATATTATATGTTCAGCTAATATTTTCTATCTAAGAAGATTTTTAATAAAAATAAATGCCTTATATTAATATTTTTTGGCTTTAATTCTTTTATAATATCTACTATAATATATTCTAATTTTTTAATAATAAAAAGATGCCTTGTTTTAACTATAATTCTATTTTAATAATAATAGCCAATACTAAATATAGCTTTAGTGTTTTCAATCTTAGTAATTATATCTTATATTTATCCTTTTTCTATTATATTAGAAGTATTATTACAAAAAATAAGATCTTGAGTATTATTACATATATTAATATAAAAAATAGATCTTGTGCAATCTTGTAACCTTTATAATTAAATTATCTATGAAAAATTTTAATAATATTTAAGTAACTTCTTTCATTTAAATTTATATAAAAAACAATATATATCTAATTAATTCCAATCTTGTATAATATTTAATTTTTCATCTTTCTCATAATATTCATCATAAACTAAGCTATCTTCATCTGTATTAAAATCTTTCTCATCACTATTATTGCTTTTATCTTGATTTTTAATTCCTCTTCTTGGATTTATTTCAATTATGATTTATAGATAATCAAAAATGAGGTTATCTTCAGTTTCATCAGTTGTGTTTGAAATTTCATAACACTTGAATAATCTTTTAATCATATCAGAATCAATAGCCTTCCAAGTTTTCTTAACCCAAGTAGCAGCCAAAAGATATAAAAGACATTTTATTTTTTCTGATTTAGTATATTTCTTAATACTTTTATTAAATTATTGATTATAAAGCTTTCGTATCTATTTAAAAAAATATTTAAAAATAAACTAATAAAACAATTAATGCAACTAAACTTCATCAGCAAAATTTTTAAGCAGATATATATCGATATATAGCAGTTAATCGATATATATCGATTAAAAATTATC